ATCCATTTCGTATATTATTACATTAAAGAAGCAATGAAATAATTTTAAAATGTTTAGACTAATTTAAAGCTGTATGTACTACTATTTTATTCATGCAGTTGTAAGTCGGTATTGACTAAGTATGAGTGGATAGCAATAATATGTATGGCATAATAAATCGTATGATACATTAATATGTATCATTGTAATAATTTAATATCATTAATAAAATATATGTAACGTATGTTTCAACTATTAGCTTAATTTACCGTAATACTAATATAAAAATAAATTACCTAGGAATAAATTATAAAACATCTATATAAATATAAACTAACACACCGTCTATTCTTACATTTTTTTTCTTCAAATTTAACACATCCATTATTGCAGTGACCTCTCAATGATGAGTTATGTACATTCGAAACCTACTACACAACAGCGCCCACTTCTTATGTACTTTTTCCATTTGCTTTTTACCCAACCCCATTTAGGGTATTCGATGAAATCATACACAATTTATTATTGTTGGACGTTGGTATAATAGCCAAGTCAGTCAATATAATAGCCCAAAGTTTCTCCTTAAATATTCCACTCCTATATCAATGGCTACTTATCGTGTACCAACAGTACACTGTTATGTGGCACTGTGCACGACGTATTGAATTTTTGTCTCGCATACTGTGTAAAAAATACTTTTGAAATTTAGTTTATGTGTAGTATTTTACACAATTACTCAAATAAAAGAGAGTAAAGTAATCTTAATGACTAAATGGATTTTACATTTAGTTTTCAAATACAAATATAAATACTTTTAAGAACTCACGAGTTTACGATGATTGATGGCTCTTCGTCACCTGATTCGTCAGAAGCATAGGAATTTTTTTTTGATACATAAAAAGTTTGGACGATGATATAAAGTATTTTTGAAATTGGGGGGGGGGGGAGACACAAAAATAAAATATGATGATATTATTGTATTTTAATAATATCATAAGTATAAATGCATAAGTACTCAAGACATATTTTTAGTATTTAGTATTTTTGAAACATAAAATTTTAACATAATTACTTAAAATAAATACGAAATGTTTTGTTTCTGAAATGAAAATAAAATGTACTAATTTGAAACACAAAGACAAAAATATTTATTTTAATACTTAAAGGTATATGTACATACGATATATAGGTAGATAGTATGTTTATGGCGTCGGCGTCGTTTCCTCTTAACCAAGTTCGCTTCACGCCTGACGATCCCGGGTCGTGGTTGGAGCTTTGATGGCGGGGCGGGGTGGAGTACTCGTGGGGAAATTTCTGCGGTTCTTTCACCGAGGAAGAGGGGGGGGGGGCTGACGTCTCCGGCGGGCCACCCCGAGCGTCGTCGCCGCACTCTGCCAGTTATAATCTTATTACTGTAATATATTAATACCATGTAAGTGCGTAGTGTGATCCCGATGGTGTGCGTTTCCGGTTCCTATTAATACAACCCCCGCGGTCCCGTTGCGCATACGTGTGTATATTATGGGGGGGGGGGGGGAGGATTAGGTGTTTTGCGCTTGCTGTGTGATCAACCATGTCAAATCCTTTCCATCCATATACCCATACGCGTAAACGTAATATACTAATATTATATTGTATAAAATAAAGTTTTTTTTTTATCTTCGATTTTACACTAAGTCGACTCGACATCACCCGTATATTATGATGATCGATCTTCGAATTTCAGACTTACGTATTTTTCGTTCTGAAAAAAAACGTGTAACGTGTACGAAACGGGTTATCTGAACATTATCCGAGTAGAGTTTATAATATTATAGCAACCGAATAATATAATCTCTTTAATGGTTAAGACGGAAGTGAAAAGATCAAGCAGAATATTGTTCAAAATTGTCAGTAAAACCATTTGAAAATATTGCAGAAATAATACAATTAGTTATAAAGCAAAACATTATAATATAATATTATTATTGTCATGTTATTAAAATGTTGATCAACTATTGTAATACTGTTGATTTCTCAAGATCTCAAAAACTTTAATTCCTATAAGCTAACCCGAAGTAAAACTCGCAGGCCATAGTATTTAATATTATAGAACTGGGGACACACGTTGAAAGCAACGCTATATAACGGGTATAATATATATAGGTACCTTGTACCAACGTAACAATCACTATCGATTTGATTACCTTCCATATATGTTTACATATTGGGTTTGTTTGAATTACAAGAGAACCAAAATAAAATTAAATAGCGTTGTCTTTTGCATCGACTAGACGGTTTACGTAAGCTCGACCAGCAATTGAAAGGTGCGCCCGAAAACCCTTTTTTATGTATTCTGCTCCCGGTCTTCAGGTTGGTTAAAAAAAAAGGTATGTTATGTGATCTGCTCTCTCGTGTTTATCGTTGGTATCAAATAATCAATATTATTCTGAAAAAATTTAGACAGTATTTTTTTTTTTTAAATATCACAAATTTTTAGAAAAATATTATAATACGTTAAATGTTTTGTAAATAGTTTAGATAGATGGTTTTATCGAAATTATTGATAATTAGATTATCTGTGACGAAATTCTAAGAATATGACTAACAATCATATTATACTATTTAATTTGATCATTTTAACAGTGCTGACGCTCTGATGGTCAAACTTTAGAATCAATAATCACAAATTATTAACTTTGAATTTCGTAAAATTGTAGGTACCCATACTCCCCATATCGAAGATAAAAAATATGTAGTGACTCGCTATAATATCGAGTAAAAAGTTTTTTTTAAATTTTGTTTATTGTAGATAACGTTATTTTTATTAATGATTTACTGTTCTACAATAGACGACAATTACTAATTCGTTTTTGTAGTTTTATTTGATTATTGTGCTCATTATCAATGAATCATGAATTAATTATGCAATGAATTCAGAATTGGGTATATTATACATTAAATATGCATAACAATATTATTGTTTAATGTTTATTACTGTCCATTAAACACGTTACGGAATTAGAACATGTTTTCATATTTAATATTTATGCATTGAGCGATGTATAGAAATGTGCAGATTACATGTTCTCCCTTCTTTGATTGATATAACAATATAAACGAGAGCAGTTTGCTGTTTACACGTGTGATTTTATTTACCTGGATTATTCGAGCGCAGCCTGGTATATTATCCAAATAATGATGTCGACCTCACACGCTGCACACTCGTAATGTGCTGCAATGCAAGTATACTATATAATTCTACCTATATATATATATATAACCTGTATATATATATGGTATTCGAATAATTTGTTACGCCATCGCATGCGATAAATCGCACGAGCACGTCTCAGAACTTTTCGCATTATTTGACATTCGTCCGACAGACGCGCACGCTGTGTTCAGAGTCCCGTCAATGGGGTGGCGCGTGCATGGGTTTTGCAGCCCCGTCGGGTGTGATTCGCACGTTCTATAATACAACAACGAAATTCGTTTTCCGTATCAGACTTACGGCACCGACCCTATACAGTTCGAATCGATACAGGTACTTATGGTATTTTTGTACGCGGTACAATATGGATTAAACGGAAGTCGTGTTCGGTTTCCTGAAACCGAGGTCTTATAACTTTATGCAAACTCGTTGTGAACTCAATTAAAACCTGATCGGTCTTGATTCCCTGAACCAATCAAAATCGTTCACCAAATAATGCAGGTATTGGTAATAGATTATGTAATTTTGAAACCGGGAATATTCGTGTTTGCGTTACTTACAATATAATTCCAACATAATGTAGGTACCTACTGTATTTTATCCCGCGTCACGGTTCTGGATAAACTTTGAGTGAATAAATCAAATACGATAAAATATACAGAAAAATAAAATCAAATATTTGCCCAAATAATTAAGTAATATATAAACAGGTATTGACTGCCACGAATCGAATGTCTATTTACCCAGCATTTACCTGTATCTATCTTTTTATAGAAATGTGTCATATATTATAAAATTTAGCGTTAAACAAATTAATTCAAAAAAACTATCGAACCCGTTGAAGATAATGTCCAAACGACTTGGAAAACCGTCCATCGATATCAGCTAGGTAATGTTGCACTGCCCAGTTCACAAGAGTCACATTATTATCGTCGTCACTATTGCAACTATCACGTTTTACAATTTTTGTGTGGAGTGTGGACCCGTTTAACAAGATGTGGTGATATATGGATGAGACTTTAGATCTATTGTCTATAGCCTGTGTATACTACAACTATATTTATGTATTACAAAAGTAGTGAATTCCATTGGGTGTGCCATACAGTTTTAAAATTGTGTCAAGAAAACTTGAACTTTTTATTTAAAAAAATACAGTAAATACCTATTAAAATATAAAATGTTATCAAAAACAATTGAAAAAAAAAAGAGTAAAGAAATTATTGTACTATATTATTACACAGTTCATATTATCATTGATTATAGAATAAACTATTTATTCTATAATCAATGATATTATGTTTCCTTTATGCATTATAATTGTTAATGTATGAAGTATGTATCTTAATGAAATACATATTCCTATCATATTTGATATGGACAACAATATTATTATTTTTCTAAAAATATTTTTACTTAAAACCTCTTTTAATCTGTAAAATGTATCATAAAAAGCTTAGTTGGTCTAACAGTCTCTGACTCCCATTACCCCTCATACACGCCCTTGCTTTATATAAGTTTTGTAATTATTTATTATTTATTTTTAGATATAATATTATATTTTTTAGTTAATAATTATCATTCATATTTTTCAATAAAATTTAACAATTACTATAGAGAAACCAAAATTATTGAGTGTGGGATTTTTAAAACAATTGATAGTGTATTAAAACGATTTTCTCGTTTTCAGTGTAAATTTCAGGGGGGAGAGGTGACTTTTGTAGGATAATCGATATCATACAATGCATAATATTATACAATGATTCGTTTCGTTTACATATTGTTTGTTTTTGTTTTTCATGTTTCAATATGTATGGTCGTAATTCTGCAGCCACCATCAACGATTCTACTACACCTGCTACTATTATTACCAGCTGGTGATAACTTCAAGGACGCCTTTTTCGCAGGGATAGAACGAAAACTTCGTCGATAGGTATTTAAAAAAAGTGTTCCGTTACAATAAGCTTATAACTAACTCTTGAGTTATTACGGTTGTTGTCCGTCGCAAAACCACACCAAAGAAGATTAGTTTTCTAAACAAACTACGGTTCACTGTGATCGATATATAATATATATATATATTTGTTTGTATTTTTATGAACATGTATTTTATGTTTTTTTTTTTTTATATCAAACGTCATAGGTACGCAGTTGCTACTTGATATTCTTGTGAATTTATATATTTTTTTAGTGCTGTTGTGGAATATAATTACAAACATGTACATTTAAATTTCATAATGCATTTTTTTTTTCGGAAATCCTCATCTATAAATTATTACACGGTACGGTAAATAGTGAACTTCTCAAGTGATGTATCTATAAAAATATTATAACAATATAATTGAGTTGTGCACATAACAAAAACAAATTTACATAACCAGTGAAAAACCATTGCTTTCTGCCGTAGATATTTCTCTGAAAAAGGCTGTGAAAGGTTAAATATTCACTGTTGCTGATTATTAGTTATAATATTAGTTAAATCTATTATAACAGTGGCCGTGGAGGAGAATAAAAAAAATCGATGGTTGAATGTTGACGAAAAATGTAGCACACTGCCGAATTCGACTGTACATGTTTAGTGTACTAGACATACAATATGTGAGGTAGGTATCAGGTGAAGGGGCAAGTCTTACGAAAGTGATGCACCCCTATGCAGTGGTTGCGCAAAAAAAGGTATACGTTTCAGGCAGCGACTCTTAGATTTTAAACAAAACAATAAGGCAAAATAAAAAGCGGTAGTTAAATGGTTATACGTGGTCTATTTTGGATAAGAGGCATAACAAGTTTATTCTACCCACCTACGGTAAAAAAGGATAATTGTTTTGTGTTTCTAAGTATGACTGTGTAAGATACGGCAATAAGCCTTACATTTTATATTTCAGTATAATTCCTTAATTAAGTAGGTCAATTTATGAACAGTTAATTAATCCACAAAGTCATCAGAATAAATGTTTATTAAAAAAAGCATAATAATAATATTATATTGTGACCGCAATGATTCTAACTTAATAATTATCCATTAGGGATTAATAATGTATTTCACTACTCAGAAGCCACCCTAAAGAACATAAAATATTTGTGAAACTCGTGAAATTATCCTTACGACGACACTGCATTCGCAAATAATAATTATAATCACGTATCGAAGTTTCATAGCCGTCGGAGCACATTTGCGTGATATTTTTGTAACACGGCGTTTCAGACAGGCGATTTAGCTACACGAAAACGATTGTAGCTAAAGATCAAATTTGCTGTGTTACATATTAGTATGATATTGTTTCAATGTATTTCGATGTTTTTAATACTATTATCCTTTCGCTATCAGACTGTTATGTACACCATTGTCATAGTATGGATTGTTTAAGTACATCAAACTACGAAACAAATGAGTGAGTGTAACAATAATATAATATGTATAATATATATAGCTATAATATTTTTTTTAGTAATGTTTGATTTGCGAATGTCTATTTTGAAATACATGGAAATTATAGAAACATTCTAAAATAATCAAAACCATTGATAAAATATAGTTGGGTACTTAGATTAATTATGTAATTTTAATGTCGTAGTTCATAATTTTATTAGGGAATTTTAACACGAGTCATAATGGCCCATTTCCAAATAAAGTACGTTTTTGAATGTTTAACGGATATAATTCATTTGACATTTTATATTGTTATATTTTCAATATTCTATAAAGTTTAAATTCATTATTTTTACTGAATTACGTACATACGTATGTATAAATAAAAATAGTACATGGGTCCTATCACAGAACATTATGTAAATGCACTAGAATTAAAATTCAAAAACCCCCATTTTGAGTGACTTAAAATGTGTAGACAATGCATTTAGTAATATCTTTAGCATGCATCAGGTTTTTAAAATTGTTTTTAACCCTCATTTTACTGAAATGCTTTAATGTCATAAGTCAGACCAAATAGTGTTTTTACCGCAATAAAATATAGACGTAATTTTTCAATGTCACCTACACAAGTATAGGTGCCAAAAATTTGAAATTATTAGAAGTATTCAAGTATATATCTAAAGCAGCTCAAACACTGTTCTTAGTCACCTACGCATTTGTTATAAAACCCTCGTGTGCAATGTGTACATGATTCAAACTTGTTTTTTTTTTCATTTTTTTTCCTACTCACTCAATGTAATTAATTTTGTTGCTGTGCGCGTGCAAGAGATTTACGGCGATAATGTTTGTGTGCAAGTGTTTGTGTCTGTGACCCTGTAACTGAAATTACACCGAAGACGTTAGAAATTATTACGGTTTTAATACTTTATCAAGAAACAGTTTTTGATTGCAACGTTTCACAAAATATAAGACCAATTTTATTTTTAAATTTGTATTAGGTACAAAAACAATATATAAACATTTGATTGGAAATTATTTATGATAATTTATATACCTTTGGGTAATAGTTTAAAACTATTCAATATTTATTTTCAAATATTACAATTTAAAAACGTATATTTTTCAATATATAATTGAACAAATAGAAAATTTATATTTTAAGGCGTTAAGTACGCCAAAACAAAATATTACAATTATTTTGTTGACAATTATGAAGAACCTAGTAACTAAACGAATGAAGAAGGAAAAAGAAAATTCCAAAATATTATGAGTAGATTAAGCACCATTGTCCATTATTACAGTTTACCTACACTTTGAAGTAACTTTGAATACTGAGAAAACTGCATTAGAGTTGAAATTTAATTATTATGATATATGAGATAAGTACCTAGGTATAATACAAGCGTCCAGCTTAAATATCGAAATAAATTCTAGAATGTTGTTTTCATAATAGCAGAGCACTACTAATTCCATGTGTTATTATAGTTATAATAGAATAGAATTATGAGTTCTTATGAAATAAATGTAGTGTAATTTAATGGTAACATAACAATATATACATAAAATTTAAATCGTAATTAACTTATTAATTCAATAAAATAAACATTGCAGGAAAATATTTAAATTTAATTTCTTCAACACATTATATATATCCACGAAATTGCAAAAAAAAATATACGCTTATCAGCTCAGTCGTATAATTTATATTTTATCAATTTAATGTATATACTATATAGTGAAATATAATTTCATATCATTGTAAATTAATAATTTTATAAAATATATGAATTAAATGATAATTATATGTAATGTTTTGATCGAAGACCGTGATTTTGATGTTATAACATGAATCTAACATAGGTAAACTGAAAATGATCTGTCTGCTTTACTCGTCTAATAAGTAATAAATAATGACTTATCATACCAATAATATTAGTGCTGGGCTGTGAACCCGAATCGTTTATTCGGATTTTGGGTTTCAGGTCTCTACTCCCATACTTCCAGATAAAGGATGTATTCTAGCGTTCTAAGTAATAAAGAGTAAATCCAGGATTCAGAATAAAAAAATACACAAAATTCTGAGTGCACAAAACTATTGTTAGCATTAGTGTTAAATACTACAGTAAAATATTAATTTAAAAACATTGAAACTTATTTTTATAAATTATAAGATATTTTCTAGAATACTATTTTTTAATCCATAAAATATTTCCAATACACTTAACTACTAAATTAATGGATGAAACAATGTATAGTATCTAAATGGCAATATATTGTGTTGATAATAATTGATATTTAATAATTAATACCCATTAGGTACCAATTGATTTTTTTTATCAATTTTATTTTGATATCTATCAACATGGTCTCCTATACACGGCCACACGGAGTTTGGATCTAATGACTGTCCAGCGTTTTTATAAAAAAACAAATCTTTGCCTGGGCAAAGCCAGGTGGGACAACCAATGTATATTATCATATAACTATATAAGTATTACTCTAAACATTGGCTCTAAAAATAGTGTTTTGAAAACGGTGGATTATATTAAATAACCCTTTAGTTTAGAATAGTGAGGTAGGTACTAAAATATACGGTGATGGGTATACGTTATTATCGTATTATCAAACGAGTACGGCGTTGATCATAGTCAATCAGGTCGGATCGCCAACGAACAGCGTTGGGTATAATGTCGACTATATAATAACTTTCATGTCGAAGTTCACCGCTGAGTTATGATATTTGTGGCACAGTGATAATTATTGAATTTATTTATAAATTAATTATAGGTACTATATAGTAGTGTGTAACGTACAAAACATAACCGAACTAATTACTACTAGTATCGTCCAGTGGTCGAAATTGTAATAGAAAAATCATATTTTTCATTTTTGTGATTTATTTATACAATTAAGTGAGCATGTACAACCTTATTTTATTTAGTTTTTATTAGAATTGAAATAGAAAATAAACACTGAATTGATTCAAGTTCAAAATAGAAATTGTTTTAACTATTTTTGCTCCTTTTTCAAATTGCCAATAGTTTCAACAATTCTTTTGTTTACAAAATGCGCCATCTTTCAAGTGTTAATTAGTATTAATTGTGATGAATATGCATATTGTGTACGTTTTTTATACTCGTACGATACATAAAAAAAAAAAGAATATAAAAACCGACCCGTCGACAGAAAAAAAGTATCCTTGTCGCAATCGTTTGATTATAACAAAATAGGTAACTACTGTATAATTGAAACTGCGTCGACTCAAAGACTCATCACGAATAACAATGTAATATATGGTGAGTCGTCAGTGATAGGTGCGTTTTTAATAATAGGATTTTGAATATTATGACCATTCGTCAAGATAAATTTACATTCTAGGTTGTATTTTTAAAAATAAATTCTCCTTATGATCCACCCAGGTTGTCGGAATCTGCCTGCGAGTAAATCGGTCGGCCTTAAACCATCCGCATCTGCAGTACTTACTCGCATCGTGGTAATGAATTGTACCAACACTTCAGGAATACCGACCCACGAAATGGCCATCATCAATTTAATAATTTTGACCACGGGACTCAAAAAAATCCAACGACTATAGTATGACAGAATGTATATACCCACAAAAGCTCATTTTTCGATACATTATCCGCATCCTGCCACATACATCAACCACAAAAACAAAAGTTGAACTAGTTGTGTAGGGAAAGGGGCGGTGGGAACAAACCCCTCCCCCAGTTTGATAGTCAAATATTTACAGTAAGTACCTAGTACTAAATCAATTATAAAAAAAAAATATGTTCAAGTTCGTAACTAATAATTAATAAAAAAAATAATCACTATCCGTGCT